AGCGAACTGATACCTGCTGAACGAGTCCGCTGTTTACTTCCTATGATACACCTGTTGTAAATATCGTATATCCGGGCAGCGTGTAATTGACTTGCCAATGCTTAGTGCCAGTGTAAGAGCGAGTCGACATACGTACATCGGTTGCTTTAGACTGCCCAGAGCCAAGCCCGTTGACGCGACTCGGAAGCGCACTGGGTTCTAGTACGCCAAGCGTTCAAGCAGCCATTTGCCACGCAGAACAAGACTCTTCATTGCAGACGGTTCAGCGGACAAAATTAGCCACTGGCAGTCAATGACTCAAGCGCGATAGATCTTCGTAAACGTGTGCTCGCCCGCTTATCCCCAAATATCCACGGACAGCGGATGACGGCGGTGGCGAGGGAGCGGCATTAGAAGCGCAAGCTGTACGCTGCCGGCAAAGACAGCTGTGGCGACGGGAGTCGTGGCAAGTCACGGGGTTTAGCTCGTGTTTATCGACCGCCGCCGCCGGCCCGGCGGACCTGATGCAAGTCTATATATGGTCATCAGGTAAGAAGGCCATTTTGTCCTCTGCGTTCATGTCCCCGTCCATGAGTCTTCAGCCACATGCCCCTGCACCTACTCGTCCTCTTCTCGAACAGACCCAAAAGGCCAATGGCCGCTTCATCACACGACCTCGGCGATGCGAAAACGACGCGCTGGGGAATGACCTCTAGTCGCGTAGAGTTGCCACTACAACAACCAAATAGCGCGGCTCCAAGCCTCCTTCCTCCCATCCTACGCCTCCCAACCGAAATCGTCGCACAAGTTTTCCGGCAGTACTGGCTCGAGTTTGAGCAGAACTACGATTCCCCAGAGCTCTTCGATCCACGCTTTACTGCTTTCTCCCGGGCCATATTGCTCATCGCCTTTGCACCCCTTCTTACTCTCTCTCAAATCTGTTCTCGGTGGCACACGATTGCCCTGCATACGGCGGACCTTTGACGGCACATTATGGGACACGGAAGAGGATTCTGCGAAAGTAGTGGGTCTGTTGAAAAGTGCACTTGAACGGGCGCACGACTCGCCACTGGCAATCAATGTGATCAATCTCTACCCGCCGCCGAGTGGGAGACTCGTCGACGGCACAGTTCTCGACCTCTTGTGCGGCGTTTCCCATCGTTGGAGATGGGCTCGATTCGTCTGCCCGCGTGGAGATATCCTGCGATGTAACGTGCTGCACCGACTTCCCAACCTCGTCATGCTCGAAATTGGGATCTTCGTTGGCGAACAACGGCGTCCGGAAATCGTGAAAAATTTCTGCGACGCTCCTAAACTGCATGGGTTCAGATGGATGGGCGATTTTGATGTTTCCCCGATGCCTCTGGAACAACTATCGTCATCGGCGATGGCACACTCCGCACCTGAGGACCTCTCGAATATCCTCAGCCAGTTTCCCCGTCTCTCTGGAGAGGTTGAGCTGAACCTTTTTCGAACCAACTATGACATCCACGGCCTTCGTCCAGTCTCCTCCGGTATAACCAGCCTTTCCATTGGCACAGAGATTGAATTCCCTGCTGCCCATTGCGAGGAGATCTTTGGAGCCGTATTCGCTAGTCTATCGCTTCCCAATCTCCGGCTTCTGGATTTCAGCTCTCATACATACCCCAAGGCCGCGATCGCGTGGTCGCATTCCGCTTTTCTTGGCATGGCACTGCGTTCCAAATTCTCTGCTCATCTCCAGACACTGGATATGCGTCACGTCGCCCTCAGCAGCCTTGTGCTGATGGAACTTCTCTCGACACTCCACAATCTCGAAGCTTTCCTTTTCGCGGACTCTTTCCCCTCGACCGATGCATATATCCGAGCTCACTGTCAACCCCCCACGCTCAGCGAGCCTGTGCTGGCCGCACTCGCACGAACTGATGCCGCCGACGCCTCCCATACCTTGGTTCCGAGGCTCCGAAAGTTTTTTTATGCATCTCAGATGAAGTTCGACCACACCCTCTTCCTTGAATTCATGCGCTCGCGAAGTTCCCGGCTGCAAGAGGAACCATTCTTCCTGAAACTCCAGTGGTTACGCTTGGAATCGGAAGTAGACCTTCATATGCACGGCCATTCCGCTCTGCGTTCAGAACTTGATAATATTGCCGCTGAGCACAGACTCCACTTTCGCCTTGAAGCCTCTGAACCGGACTTGTGGTACAGGTGAGTAATTGATTGGGTCCCAGAAATTGTTATGGTACTCAACTCCTCTTTAGCAACTTCTGACGATGTGAGGCACGAATTAAAAGCATAGACTACAACGAAGATTAAATGAGTGTAAACCAGGGTATGCACATACACAATAAAAACCCAAATAAAACAAGCCTAAACAGTCCATACCATCATCGCACCCAGCAACGCTCCGACCATCCCGACACTAAGAGCAACCCACAATGCTCCGCCACTCCTTCCAACAGCACCGCTGGCATTCTTTCCACCACCACCACTGCCGCCACCGGTGGGTGTGGATCCTGAGCTCGTTGGCTGGACAGGTAACAGCACCGGCGGCGGACTCGGCGTGAAGACCGCCGCGCTGGGTATACACTTTGTCGCAAGGGAGGTTGTCCCCGCTTTTCCTTGGGGGTTTATCGTCGCGTTGCCCGTAAAGTCGCAGGCGCCCGGAGCTCCGTGGGCGAGCTCGTAGTATTCGGACATTACGTAGGATAGGCGGATGGCTGTGGTGGTGGTGTTTGTGAGATAGCATCTAATTCGAAAGTGAAAGGCAAGTAGACTCACTGGGATCACACATCGCCACCTTGCCATACGTCCCCGAGATTCCATTCGCAGAAACATCGTCACACCCATCCGCATCGCCCAACCCAATCAGCAACCCGCAGGCCACACCCATCAACTCCCCGACCAGCACCGTATAGTCGGCCTTTTGAGGCGTAAATCGACACATCAGCGCGTCCTCGAGACATCCACACGCAGCGTCGTCTGGCGTCGGTGGAAGCAGCCCGGAGGAGCTCGCGTTGAGTCCCGAGGGGCAAGACGGCAGTGAATCTGCGTTTGATTCGGCGGAGGATTGCGATGGGGTGGTGGGGAGCGTGGCTGCTACGGCGTTGTATTGCGTTGCGAGGTTATCGAAGTCCCCGTTGGTCGTGATGGAGGTGTTGTCCGCCGAGAGTGCCGCCATCCCGAACTCGTGGCCCTTGCTGATGGCGGAGAAGTAGCTGAATGCGAGGCCACCGGACCACACGTTGGACATGGGTGTGCTGCGGCCCGGGATGGTTATTTTGGCTATCGGCGAGTCGCAAAAGACACGCACCTGAACATGACCGGCACCTCTGTCCATATGCGAGGATTAGGATTACAATTCTCGCTCCCGAACTCCGAGCTGAATCGTCTCAGCCATCTGCAACGAAACTGCGCGGGGGGGAGGAGAACTCACAAGTACGCTGCTACGGGATAATCCGCAAACCGCTGATTGAGCGCGTCGAAGCGCGTCGTGGTATCATTGCCACACCATTCGCTGAAGCAGTCCACGTTAGTTGACAATCGAATAAGAGCCAGAGCCAAACACGCAACTAGTTGTTCAGCCCGAACAAGTCAATCGCCGCACCGTTCGCATTAGCATGGTCGCACGCGAGGAAGCCAGCGATATTGTCCACAAAGGACGATGGCCCGTCGATGGCTGCGTACCCGACAAGCGCGGAGGATTGAATAGAATTCCTGTTGTGCGATCTGAATACGCGGGAACGGAACTATGATATGCAGAGAAGAACGGGGTAACGCACAGATAAGCCTTGACATCCCGCGCTGCCGACAGTATAAACGGCGCTGCTTGTGACCCTCCGCCGGGCGTCATGACCTCATTCCCGATGTTATAAGCGAGGACGTTGTCGTATTTCTCGAATGCGTCGATGGTGCGGAGGAATTGGTCCAGGATGTTGGTGCTCCAGGACGGGAGGGTCGTGTCGATAGATCCGTTGAGCGCTGTTTTCCTCGATTAGCGGACAAGCCGGGACAGCCCGAGATGGGTATCGAAAGGGGTTGCTTCTCACGTAGGGTCAAGTCCAGACTGTACTCGGGTCAATAGCCATACTCGGGGCAGGGACTGGGGTAGGACGCACATAACATAGATCCCCGCCTGACTGAAAGCCTCCATGCACGGATCGTGATTGAGCGACTCGTTGGCCGAGTACGCGCGGATGGCGTTGATACCGAGCTTTTTGAGGTAGGGCAGGTCTCGTGTACAGGCGTCCGCGTCCGCGAGGTTGTCCACGACTGCAGTGGGTTAGGCTTGAGCTTGAGCGGTTCCCGAGATACGCACAGGTGGACGGCTGGTTGAGCGGGTTGTCAGGTCCGGGGATGACAATGCCTGGGGAGAATACGCATGAAAGCAAGCGAAGACGAGGCCGTTGTACGCACCTTGCGTCTGGTACGCAATTCCCTTGATGAAAAACCTCGTCCCATCCTCCGTGTACAGATACTTGCCCGTCCGCGAGACCTTGGGCAGCGTTGAGACAGAGACGACTGTCGCCAGGACCAGGAGGACGTTGGCCCACAGCATCGGTGCGGAGGTGGAAGTGAAAGGCAAGCCGAGCCGATTGAGGGCGAGAAGAAGAGGAGGGGTACGGGCAAATCATGCCGCAAATGCCATGATACGGTCTCGGCTAGGTTCCCGTTGTGTATCGACACAACATCACGACAGTCGAGGCCGCGAAGTAAAGGACTCGGTCAGCAGCGGTGGGGCTTGCTGCAGGATAAGCTCGAGTATAATCTGGACTCTGAGGCTAGAAAAAAGAACAGGAAAGAACGCGGTAAGTGGAGGTAGGCACAAAAACGGAACGCGGAACACGGGCGCCAAGAGGACAACGACTTTTGACGTTGACAGCTGTGATAGACTGATAGACTTGTCACTCATCGATGCACATTGCAGAGTCGCTAGACATAGGGAAGCTGAAAGGCAGTTGATAAGCCTGAGAGGTAATAAAGCAGGTAAAAAGAGAGCGAAACCAAAGCGAAAAAAAAAAAAAAAAAAGCGAAAAAAAAGACTCTCGACCTGGGAATCGAACCCAGCTTTCGCGCGAAAGAGCGGCCATGGTTATGACAAGCGCGTGTACTAACCGATATACTAGTCAAGATTAGATGGAAGCCAACATAATGCTATAGGTAATGTACCTCCATCATCGCCACATACCACTGCCACCACTTGATCGACCTTCGACAGCCCCAAACCATGATTCGTTCGAGTCGGCCGCCATGCCTGCGAACGCACTGGCACCATTCGACGGCCACGGTCCATCCAGCTCCCGTCCCCGTCGGCGAAAACCGAGGACCCGGACACCAGACTGATCCCGCCCAAGTCCGGACTCACGGAATGGCTGTACATGCTGCGCGCGTCGAATTCCTCAACTGGGCCACAACCGCAACCGCGACTACAAAGCGTCTCCATTGACTGGCACTGGCCATAGCGACGAAGACAAGGAGGACAAGGCGTGTGGCCACAACGCTTTTGTTCAACGCCCACAGACCTGTCCAAGCGTATAATCGGGTCATTACAGCATTAAGCGCCTGTGCACCCTATATCAAGCCCGCGTTCGACTGGTTTTCTATCCCACGCACACACACCCATGTCCTTCTCTCCCTCTCCCGCCGCCCAGCTCGACACCTTTACAACGCTCACCTCCATCGTCACGACGACCTCGGTCGCGACGAACGACTCCCGCCAGCCCCTCCGGAAACGCTCGACGTTGACTCTCAACCGAGCTGAACAAGGTGCCAGTGCCCACCGCAGACCCACTGCCAGTGGCACGTCCACGCACAGTCACCTCGACTCGGCTGCTCCAGAAAAGGGGCCACAGGCATGGCGAACCGTCCTGACCGCGCTGAAGAAAGTCGACGTCAAGAAGCTGCTAACCCCGACGAAGCAACTCGGGCCCGCTCCTAGTATCGCGAAGAGCATTCGTACCGTCGTCTTCTACTCCTGTGTGTCTCGGACGGTATTGACTACCAATTCTTACTGAAAGTGTGCTCTAGGGTTCAACGTTCTCCTTCTGTGCATCCCCATAGCGGTAAGTCAGAGCCCACTACTCCATCGCGCACAGCAACTAACTCCCCCCGCCCAGTTCGCGCTCCACTTTGCCACTCCGCACCAGTATGCCGCAATCTTCTCAAGTACGCATTCACCTTGTATTCCTCCCTTCATACCGGAGTGCTAACGCGACTACAGCATGCTTCATTGGGATCATTCCACTTGCGCACGTCAGTCGTCTCCCTGCAGCCTGCTCTCTGATGCCCCTCCTCATGCCTACACAGTTACTCTCCTTCGCCACGGAAGAGGTGTCCCTCCGCGTGGGTCAAGCTCTAGCGGGGCTAATTAACGCGACATTGGTATGCTTTCCCCGGCTTATGGTCATGCTACATGCTAATCATACCGCAGGGAAACGTGTACGCTTCATCTACCTCTCCCCCTCCGTATCCCTCGCTGATTCATTTCATCTCCTCATGCAGTGTTGAACTAATAGTAGCGGTACGCCGGCGCCTGGCTTCTCGCTCCCCGATCTAAACTCTAACCAATAAACACAGGTTATCGCACTCACCCACTGCGAACTCGACCTCGTGCAATCATCCCGTACGTACGGTCCGCTCTTCCGCTTTACAGCTTTTCCTCCTTCTCCATTCGGGGCGGCTAACCACTCCGACCAGTCATCGGGTCTATCCTAGGAAACCTCCGTACGTGTCGCGTGTCTTGTTTGTCGGTCGGATTGACGCGTTAAACGTACCTTGCAGTGCTCGTTTTGGGCATGTGTTTCTTCCTCGGCGGGCTCAGGTTCTCCGAGCAGGGATTCGCTATCGGTAAGCCTCTTCTTCCGTTCTTCCCTGCTTTTTCCCGCGTTCTCTCGTCAACCGCAGCGAGCGCTTGCGTGAGTACTCCTGGTTGAGTCACGTACGGAAGTCTATCACCTAGACGCCCCAACGACATAGCCTGCGGTGCGCGATACGCGATACGCGATACAGCGGATATCGCAATGATTGGCTTGCACCGCTATACATATCCCCCTAGCTGCCATTCTCGTCCTGTGCTATCCTTCTTTTTTTCTCACATTCGGAGACTCTTAAATCTTCTCCTCTTTCCATTGGCTGACGAATTTCAACAATGCACAGGCGCCGCACAGCTTAACAGCTCTCTCCTCACGCTTAGCGTCGTCGCCGTGATGCTCCCGATAATGTACCAGCTCAGCGCCGGCTTCAACGGGGCGGATAAGACCAAGACACAGACGCAGCTTTTACAGTTTAGCCATGGGGTACGTTGATTTACTTGATTCTTTCAACTCCGATTAAAATTTGTAACCCCGCCATCAGATCGCACTCATTCTCCTCGTCGGTACGTACTGAAACGCTTCGCCTAGAAAACACAAAAAGTTCTAACCTACTTTCCAATTTTTAGTGTACATAGGCTACCTTCTCTTCCAGCTCGTCTCGCACAAGGAGGTGTACGCGGATGACAGCGCCGACATCCCGCTCTCGACTCCCTGGGTCCGTGATCGTGTGTCTCCGATTCTAGAGATGCAAGTGTTGCCTCCGACGCCTCCGACCTCGTCGAATGGCCTGCCGCCCATGTTGACGGAGGAGCCGGAGGAGGTTGGTGCGGCCAGGAATCACCACAACGATACCAATACCGAGATCGGCGTCTCGGACTCGGACTCGGACCGCCCTACGCCTGAATTGCACGGCGCTGTGTGTCTCTGCTTGCTCGTCGTCGTCACTATCGTGCGTCCTTTTCCTTCTTTTATCCTTCATCTCTTCGCATCATCCTAACCCCACACACGCACACAGCTCGTCGCGTTCACCGCCGAATACCTCGTCTCCTCCATAAACGGGCTCACCGCCTCGGGCAAGCTATCCAAAGCCTTTGTCGGGATCATCCTCCTCCCCATCGCGGGTAACATCGCAGAGCACGTTTCGGCCGTGACTAGCTCCGTCAAGGACAAGCTCACGCTGAGTATGAGTATCGCAGTCGGGTCGAGCATCGTGCGTTCATTTCTGTGATTCCTTGTACATGCTCAAATTTTAAATTTTGCAGCAAATCGCGCTATTCGTCATCCCGTACGTATACGTCTGCCTTTCGTTTCCGCGTATTCATTTATAACTCCTTGGATAGCTTCATCGTCGTCGTCGGCTGGGGCCTCGACAAACCTATGTCCTTCCTCTTCGACCCGCTCCAGGCGATATGTCTCCTCCTCACGGTGTTGACGGTCAACTACGTCGTGGCAGATGGGAAGAGTAACTGGGTGGGTTCACCTCCCTTTTTCCCTGCATTCTCTCCAGATTTTGATTTATTTCGCAGCTGGAAGGCATGATTCTCCTGGGTACGTCTACTCCCTCGTTGTATTCAGGCTGTATATTGACGGATTCGCCTTTCAGCGCTGTACTCTATCATCGGCACCCTGTTCTTCTTTTACCCCGGATCCCCGGCACAAGTCTGCAACTGATGCCCTCGCACACCATGACGACTGCCAGAGTCAGAGTCCATCGTTCCCTCCTCTCTCTTCTTTCTCTATACATGTATTCCTCGTTGGGGTTTTACGGACCTTCTCCTCCTCCCACACTCTCATCCCATCCTTCTGGATCTGTCTCAAGCTCTCGCTACACGTTCCCTTGCGTACCGTGCCTTGTCTTGCCTTTATGTTTCCCCACTGTATCATACATATTCCTCCTCATTTATATAGTCATCATATAGTCTACGGTCTCCTTTGTAGCTTTTGAATCTAGTTCGTCAGTCTCGTTGACGTTGTTGAGGTATATATCCGCTTGTATCCAAAAATGTTCTGACATCTGAATCCATATCACCACCGCCCGGATTGAACCGGATCGCGCATAAATTCTATTCGGGGAGGAAGACTTGGATGGAATGCGTGTGCCATCGAATGGCATCGGTGATTCTGTTCAAAAGTGGCATAGACTTCTGTAGTGCATAGAGGAAATCTCAGTGAAAATCGGCTCTCTACGGTCTTATTTGTAGCTTTGAATCCAAACAGTCTCCTTGAGTTTGAGGTATAGTCGCCGCATGCATCAAAAATCAGGATATTCCAGACTTGCTATGACCCACCGCCGGATTGAACCGGATCACGCATAAATTCCTATCAATGGAGAGAAGATCTGGATGGGATGCGTGTGTCACTGACTGACATCGGTGGACTCTTCAGCCTGGTGAAATTCTTAATTATGAAGACCATTTGCCACGCCTACCACGCGACTTGAAAACGGTGTGTACACACGTTCGAATGGGAACGACTCGGAGATTATGCAGGAATGGTCGACCCGATGCGCTTCAATGGACGCCGCGCAGCTATTTTTGCCTCGTCGTTTTGGGTTGCGAGTCTATCATACATGTACATCTTGTGTTGTCTCGTTATTTTGACCCAGTCTGCGTGTGCCTAGCCGTCGCGGGGTCCAGGTACGCCATGCATAAAAATTTGCAACGACTCGGCAACGACCCACCCCCGGATTGAACCGGATCACGCATGAATTCATCCATTCCACTGACAAATGGAGGGCGTGTGTCACTGACTGACATCGGTGGGCTCTTCAGCGTGGTGAAAAATCTCAATTAAGAAGACCATTTGCAACAACGCCTAGAACACGACTTGAACGATTCTACAACCAGATCATGCACAGATATTCTACGCGATGCGCTTCAACAAACGCCGCCATCGGTTCTTCAACTGCCAGTGCCGCACTTTATAGCTACCACCTGCCGCCTCATTTTCGCCGCGAGTCCAGTCTCCGTAAGTATGTTCTGAGCCGCAGGCTAGCTTGTGGCGAGTGATATAACGCGAGGCGAGGCCCAGCTCGTATTATCGCCACATGCACCCAAATAAAAATAAAAAAGAAGAAGGGTGGCAGTATAACCCACGTCCGGATTGAACCAGGTCGTGCAATTCTTATGTTCAGTGCATGCATTCATCAGAGCTGCTCTCTGTGGGTTCTTCTGGCACCTGTGACGCATAGTATGCTCAGCCATGAATCCCCGCTGTGGGTACTGTTAGTATTTAAATTGCTTGGCAAAAAGCTAGCCGCAAACCATGATTACCAAACCTACTCCCGGAATGAACCGGATCGTGCCTGAGTAACTCACGAG